AAAAAAAAAAAAAAAGCATCCTATAGAAACGCTGCACTATTCAAATATTACTGTGTGGCAAATTATCTACATTTTTTATACTGCGTTTATATTATAACGTGGAAATCTTAATATAGTATATACATTGGTTGGACTTGTCTCTCCTCTCTTTTCTAGTACCTTATCTTTCCTCATTTCATCTTTCATGTTATTTTTTTTGTATACTGGGAGAATTAAAAATAGCCCTTATCAAAGATTTGATTTTTTATAGTGACTACTGGCCCTTTATGATGAAAACAAATTTAATTCTTTCCATCATATCAGTAGTTTTCATGCAGTGTTTTCTTAAACTAGCCAGAAACAATTTTATTTTTCCTGTTTTTCAGTTTGCACTTGCTTTTTAAAAATATACTAAGAAACAATATTTTTCTAAAACGTATTACTATATTAAATTTTCTCTGGTATCCAAAAACTTTGGTAACTTTTAAAATAAAAAGGTAGAAATATTCTTTGACAGAATTTGGGCATATTATTTTTATAAATGTGAGTCTTTTTAAAAACTCTAATTCACAAATGTTAATTGCGCATATCCCAATATGGAAATTTCAGATGTCAAAACTATTTTGAAGCAACACATACAGTCAATAAAATAGAGGCCTTAAGCAGAGCTCAGAGCACAAGTCTTCTAAAAAGTACTAGTTGCTAGAAACGACCATTGACTATAAGCCACCAGCTTCATACTCTTATCAAATCAAATACAGAAGCAAATACAAAGCAGATAAATGTAAACGATACTAGATTAACATGGTATTAATTAGGGCTATCACTCCCTAATTTAGCAGTCATGTCTAAAACAGAATTAAGTTTTAAAGTCAATAAAAAAGCAAAACCAGGCTGTTTTGATCACTATCAATTTTATAGTATAGCCTCAAGTCTGGTAACGTGATATCTCCTGATCTGTTTTTATTTCTGATAATGTATTTGCTATTTGAGGTTTTTTCTGATTCCATATAAAACAAAGCACTATTTTTTCAAGCTCTTTAAAATATGATGATGGCATCTTAATAGGGACTGCAGTAATATGTAGATTGCTTTGGGTAGTAGAGACATTTTAACAATGTTGATTCTTCCCAACCATGAGCATGGTATGTTCTTCCATTTGTTAACATCTTCAGCTATTTCTTTTCTGAGTTTCATAATTCTCTTTATAGAGATCTTTCACGTCCACAAAAATAGAGAGGTAGATGTATGGAACAGAATAGAGAATGAAGAGATCAACCCAGATACTTAACAGTCATTTGATCTTTGACAAACCTATCAAAACCATTCAATGGGGGAAAGATTCCCTGTGTAACAAATGGTTCTGGCAATCTGTAGAAGAATGAAACTGGACCCCCATCTCTCACCATTAACAAAGACTGATTCTCACTGGATAAAAGATTTAAACTTAGGCCATGAAACTATAAAAATATGAGAAGGTAGTGCAGGGAAAATGCTTGAACAAATTGGCCTGAGAGAATTTTTTATGAGGAAGACCCTCCTCCTCCTGAGTAATTGAAGCAACACCAAAATTATATTACTGGGATCTGATCAAACTAAAAAGCTTCTACACAGCAAAGAGCACAGTAAATAAAGTAAACAG